CTGCACCTCGGCGGCCCCTCGTGCCCCTTGGGGAGCACGGTGGGGCTGAGGAGCATCCAGGGGAAAGGTGCAGGGAGTAAATCAGGACTCAGCGCTGCCCGGCTCCCTTCGACTTTCGGGTGCCCAGGCCATAACTAGCTTCCCCGCAAGCAACAACTCCCATGCCCTTTCAGCGCCAGTCCTTCTGAACCCACGTCCGAGCACCAAGGAAGCTGGCCGTGGGCAGGATAACCCTGTGGCAATGCCTCCTTTAACGGCTGATGCCGCGGGCTGGGCTCCCCTCGTGCTCGTCCAGCTCCTGCTGCTGGGCCCCCATCCGCAGCGCAAGGCGCAGCGTGGCTGTAGGCAGGCGGTGCCCCCGAAGGCGCCCCTCGGACCTTGGGTTTGGATGGTGGTTGCTGGATGCGGGGCAGAGGGTGATGCCTGCTTTGCTCTACCGTTTGCCCCAGGATCTGAGCTACAACCAGCTCACGGAGTGTCCCCGGGAACTGGAGAACGCCAAGAACATGCTGGTCCTCAACCTTGGCCACAACAGGTGGGTCTGGGCCAGGGCAGCCATCTCCCCCTGGCCATGGCCACTTCCATCCATCCATCCATCCATCCATCCATCCATCCATCCATCCATCCATCCATCCATCCACCCATCCATCCATCACCCCCCTTCACTCCCGGTTCTGCTCTCTGCCCCTCGCCGGGAGGGAACCGAGGGCTGGTGCAGGTTCTGGGTAGCCCTGAAGATCCCCCGTATCCCCGCAGCATCGAGACCATCCCCAACCAGCTCTTCATCAACCTGACGGACCTGCTCTACCTCGACCTGAGCAACAACAAGCTGGAGAGCCTCCCACCGCAGATGAGACGCCTGGTCCACCTCCAGACCCTCATCCTCAACAACAACCCCCTCCTGCACGCGCAGCTCCGGTAAGACCCCGTTTTCCAGGCTGGATCCCGCAATGCCGGGGCTGGGCTGGGCGCCTGCTCCAGCCCTGACACCGTTTCTGCCCTGTGTTCTCCGTGGCCCGCAGGCAGCTCCCAGCGATGACGGCCCTGCAGACCCTCCACCTCAGGAACACCCAGCGCACGCAGAGCAACCTGCCCACCAGCCTCGAGGGCCTGGCGAACCTGGCAGGTAGGGCCGGGGCGCCCAGCCCCACGGCGCACGGGGCCCTCCAGGGGTCCTCTCGGCTTTGGCCTGGGTCCGGCCGGCGGCGTCACCCCGTTGTCTTTCCCCCAGACGTGGACCTGTCCTGCAACGACCTCAGTCGTGTTCCCGAGTGCCTCTACACCCTGGGCAGCCTGCGGCGCCTCAACCTCAGCAGCAATCAGATCACGGAGCTGTCCCTCTGCATCGATCAGTGGACCCAGCTGGAGACCCTCAACCTGTCCCGCAACCAGCTCACCTCCTTGCCTGTACGTCCCTGCCCGTACGTGGCGTCCCTGCCCGTGCCTCCATGCCACTGGGTTCTCCCTCACCCTGCCATCTCCTCCTTCCCCAGTCGGCCATCTGCAAGCTGACCAAGCTGAAGAAGATTTACCTGAACTCCAACAAGCTCGACTTTGACGGGATCCCCTCAGGCATCGGCAAGCTCGCCAACCTTGAGGAGTTCATGGCGGCCAACAACAACCTGGAGCTCATCCCCGAGAGCCTGTGCAGGTAGGGGAAAGCCCCCAACTGGATCTGCTCTGTCCCCGAGAGGGGACACGGAGGCTGCGTGGTGACGGGGTGTCACCCTGGCCTGGCCATTCACCAGTGTCTCTGTCCCACAGGTGCTCCAAGCTGAGGAAGCTGGTGCTGAACAAGAACCGCCTGGTGACGCTGCCAGAGGCCGTCCATTTCCTGACGGACGTGGAGGTGAGAGCCCAAACACCCCCTCCACCACAGCCCCAGCCTGCCCCTGGGATCCCAGGGCTGTAGGGTGGGATGGGGTGAGGCGAGGACAGGGGGTCTTGGGGCCAATACACGCAGTCTGGCACACGGTTCAGCCCAGGCAGGTGGTGGATTCGGGGCTCCCTCCACATCCCCTCAACTCACCGAAACCCAGGGTGTGCTGGAGGTCTCCCGTCCCACCCCACATCCTCAGTGAGCCCGTGCTTCGGAGCAGTGAGGTCTCCCGTACCCTCCTCGGCAGATCCTGGACGTGCGAGAGAACCCCAACCTGGTGATGCCCCCGAAGCCGGTGGATCGGACGTCGGAGTGGTACAACATCGACTTCTCCCTGCAGAACCAGCTCCGCCTGGCTGGAGCCTCCCCGGCCACCGTCGCGGCCGCCGCGGCAGGTAAGCGTGGAGGGAGGCGGGGGGCAGCCCCTGCCTCGGGGAGCGCCCTGGGAGCGG